GCTCTCGGAGAGCGCTGCAGGGGCTGTGGCAGGATGACCCGGGGGATGTAAGGGGTACCCGTGTCTCTGCAGCGCCCTGGGTATCGCTAAGCGGAGGTGCCCCTGGTGGGGGCGGAGGGCAGGAGGAGCCTTCCCCCTTCCCCCGGCAGGCCTGAGCAGGACCGAGAATAGCTTTGCATTGCTTTCAGGTCCGGAGGGCACCCTGAGAGCTCTCGAGTTTTCTGCAAGAAATCCGCCACCTCCTCCCCAGCTCGCACCTCTAGTTTCCTCAACATTGGGGTAGAACAGACCATGTTTACTTGTCTAGGGCTGTCTTGACCTCGCTGAGACTTTTCAAGCAATACAGCAGTGTGTGAAGTCTCAGATCTAGAGTAGCAGAAGGATACAGGATGCAGTCCCAGCTTCTCTGGGAGCATATGAGGAGGAGACACGCAAAAAAGTGTGAGTGTGTGCCAAACTCCCTGTTTCTGTTAATAGGTTGTGCCTAGCGCTGTCACTGAACGCTTAACACATGGCTAATCTATATGCAGCACAGCCGTGTACAGAACCTCCTCCCCTCCCCAAGGACATTGCACCCCAACCAACTTCAGCAGCTTTGCCCTTACATGCAGAGGCAGCATTGACCCTTCTCCCCATTTGCCCTGCTGAGGTAAAAAAAGAATCAAAAAGCACCATTTCAGTGTGAGTGAGCACATGACTGTTCCCTCCATGTCCCTTCCCTTCAATGTCTCTGACAAATGGCTTCTCCTTTCACATAGTCCCCCCAGTAGGTGTTCTGGACCCTCATGAATTATACATTTCTCTTCCTAATAGTGCTCTCTCTGCCTGACCTTCATAAATAATATCCTTTGCCATGTCAGGTGAAGAGCAGAATTTTCTTAAATTGATGTGATGTAAGCACTAAATCGAAGAACGTTACTGCTACTGCATTACAACCCCATAGAGTACTGTTTGCAGAAGAGGCATCTATAAATAGTAAGAAGTCTGGCTGCACATCTGTAAAATGTTGTAGTACTGACAACACATATTGTATTAAAGGTCCCAGGATCATGGGCAGTGTTTCAAGGAGAAATGTACAAGCATAGCCGATTCATGTCAAAGCTGTTTTTCAGTGGAAATTGTCTTTAGACAGGGAAATTAGGTGAGAAGAGCTCTTTAAATCTTGCTATTTAAATCCACTATTAGTGTATTTTTGTTGTTGAACTGCCATTGTCTTTCTGCTTGTGTAATGCTGCACACAGTGCCATGTCATTTTATGCAGAAGTCTTTCTTAGCAATGATATTTTAATTCCAGTGCTGCATAAAGGTTAGGAGAATATTAAAATTATGTTTCCTCTCTTCTGAGTATGCATCAGTAATGATTGCTTTAAATGAGAGTGAAAGTATTGCAGATTAGAAAAATCCAGCAGTGTTTCTAGCTTAAGAAATCCAGAAGGGATACATTCATAATACCTGTCAAGATATTTTCTATTTTATTAATTTTCATATTTGTGATATTAAGATCTGTTATGTACTGAGACTAGTCTATACACACAGACTTAGAATTACACCAAGCAAAATATGCCAAAATCTTTGATGCTTTCACTTGTCAAGCATTTATATTTAGCAAAGTCATATGATACCAGTTTGACCTTCAGAGCGCTATTTCTCTAACTTTCTCCTGAAGTTAGCAAATGTTCTGTGAAAGAAGGAATACAGGACAAAGCATCTCACTTTTGGACTTATCACAGTGTTAGAGAAAGTTAGGAATTGCTATAAATTTGCTTTGAAATGAATGAGGTACTAGTAATAAGCATGATTTGATACTCAATTTCTGAAGTACTCGATGCCATGGCAACAGACATAATGTGAAAACCAGTCAGCTATAATGAGAGATGAGGAGTTTAAACATTTAACAAATGGCCAAAAAGCCTTGCTTCCAAATAATTCCAAAAATCTTCTGGTTCTTACTCATTAATTTGAGCCAGTGACTTCCATTACAGCTTCACTGCGATTTAATTATTTATGTCTTTTACATTTACCACAATTAAGAGTATTCACCAAGCTTTTGGTCAAATTTGGCAAGTATACTGTTTCAGTAGTAGGGTAGTTTATAAAAAAATACATGAAAACAAAGAGCATGGATAGTCTATGAGAAACTTTTTGTTCCCGTGAATTTACTCCCCCTTTAATGACCATAGTGTTAGATCATTAGCCTAAAAAGCTTAAAGAAATTATGACAACAAACACAGACAAGGGAAAAGCAAAGCTACAGCAAGGCAATACTCGTTGTTTCTTCAAACAAGAACACAAGAAATCCGTAGCTCAGTAACATTACTTTCCAGTCAAGGAAGGCACATCACATTACCAGGAAATTTGAAGAAGTGTGTTCCCATGACACCAGATTGTACAGTTACATTACCACTATCCCCATAGTCTTATATCTTGACACTAAATACAGTTAAGTGAGTGGAGGTGTTGCTGCAGGTGCTGTTGGATCTTGAATCAGGCTCAGAATAGTTTTGTAATTTCATTGTACTGATAACAGCCTGATAACAGTCTGTCTCTCAGAGTCCAAGTGCAACCACTGTTTTTTTTGTTTGTTTGTTAATGTTTTAAAATGCTTTGTATAAAAACAAAAATCAAGGGGAATAAAGCCATAAGTTTTTTGCATTTAGAGCCTCACTAAGGGCCATGGGGGTCCCACCAACACAAGCTTTCTAGAATTATTTCAGATCCTTGTTTGGAGTGCACAAATATATTCAGAAAATGTCTATTCTTCTTGGCCATTCCATCAAGTTTAAGAGAAGTTCAATTTGAAAAGATATAAACATGAAGATCTGTATCTTTAGTCATGAAAGAAGACTTGTCTAAATTAAACAGGACTGTTTGCATAAATATCAGATCCAGAATTGGGTTCTCTGCAAATAATTAAAAGCACTCAGACAGAAAACAAAGTGAAAGAGAAATTGTTCTTTGTAGAACATATGCATGAATATACTGCAAAATTAATGGTGCTGATTTGCTGTACATTTTGGTTTCTGGTTCTTATTTTAAATTTATTAATAGGAGCCAGATGAATAGCAGGCCTGATATCAGTGATGGGAAACAAATTGAAAGAAGTGAGATTTCAGATCTGTGTGTTTGAACGTAGCTTGTGAATCTATGGCAGGTGAGGGGAACTGAATCACATAATAGTTTGGGTAGGAAAGGATCTTTAAAGGTCACCTATCCCAACCCCTCTTCAATGAGAAGGGGCATCTTCAGCTACATCAGGTTGGCCAGAGCCCAGTCCAACCCGGCCTTGAGAGTTTCCAATGATGGGGCATCTACTGCCTGTTTTGGCAACCTGTTCCAGTTCTTCAGCACCCTCACTGTGAAAATTTTCTTCCTTATATCTAGTCTGTATCTACCATCTTCTAGTTAAAAACCATTACCCCTTGCCCTATCACAACAGGGCCTGCTAAAAAGTTTGTTCCCATCTTTCTTTTAAGTTCCCAGTTAAGTGACAAGTAAGCTCCTGAAAGGGTGTAATAAGCACTAAGTTCTCCAGTGACACGAAGTGCCAGGTTTATGTGCATGTTCAAGAGACATATACATGTACATATAACAGGTTAGTCGCTAATTGAAACAATTCTAGAACCTGAAATTGGGCTGGTTTTGTACAATGCAAATGCACAGTAACTTCATAAAACGCAATTCTTATGCTGACGACTTTGCAGTGTCTATAGGGAAAAAACACACTTATTCCATCACTAAGAATAGAGGCATTAGGTAATTTATTAATGATAGCAAAATAGAATCCTCCATTAATGTTCTATTATACAAAGCTTGGGTTTTGTTTAGAAAAAAAAATTGACAATTCGGAGTGACAGGCGTAATAGATGTGCTTCCCCATACAGATGAATATAACTGGTGCAGTGTCATGAGATCCAGGTCTGTGGAAGCAACTGCTCTGTTATTAGGAGTGAGAAGATTATAATACCCTGTCTGCATGGAATCCAGTTATGCCACTACTGAGGGAAGAATCTGTTGAAATAATGAGATTCTGTTTGTGATTAATGAGTAGTAAGAGGGGTTTCTCCTTAAGTTATTGAAGTACAAATGAACAGAAGCAGAGCAAGAGTGTGCCTAACAGAGAACAAGGGACTGAATTTATTCAGTGAATGTAAGTTTTTTCCTGGCTATTGCACTAGATGATCTTGGAGATATAATTTAATCCCTTTGACCTTTCCCACTCATACTTCCAAATTCTGTGTTTTACTGGCTAAAGTTGCTGGAGAAGATTATTATTTGGTGTTACTAAATTGCTTATAACACCATACATAAACAAACATTAATGACTGGGTGATGTTTACTCAAGAGAGAAATAGTGCTGTTATGTGCTATACTTCTTAGACTCACAGAAGTCACGACAGATCTGGCATGGTGTCAGATAGCTGGCTGAAGAAGCGGGTTATGACATACCTTTCAACCCTACTGAATAGTGTGCCATGTGCCCATGTCACATAACTTTGAATGGGAAAAGTTGTGGTAGCTGTTGTGTGCAAGTAGGTGAGCTATATAGACCAGACCAGTGGCTCGTGCTCTAGGTGTTTTGCACTGCTGACAAGGTAGTC